AGACACAACAGTTAGTCAGAAGGGGATGCAATTACTGCGCAAAGTCCATTTCAAGAGACAACCAGAAACAAGGAGAAGAGAGAGCGAGATGCAGGCCAGAGCATTACCGTGAGAGATTCCACTCCAATGCAAACTGTTTATCAAATAACTGCCTAAGTGCTACTTTGTGCAACAATCCATGGCAGGAGGGTGTTCAAGAGCGTGCGCATCAGTCCCGTGATGCCAGCGCCGTGCTGCTGCCTGCGGAACTTTTCCCAGCCCAGGCACTGAGCACAGATACACAAGAACCATGCAATTATCTTCTGTCCGCAGAAAAAGCCTCGCGAAGACTCCCGGATGCCAGAACAGTTAGCAGATGCCAGAAAAGAAGTAGTTAAGCTTTGTCTCGTCAGTAGCTACCAGGAGAATGCAGAAAAGGGCGAAGCCTGGGGAGCAGCTTGGCAGGAAAGGGGCTGGTGTCCTGCCGGGCACCAAGTGGGACACAACCAGCAGGTGCCTTTTCCCAGCAGGAAGGCTAACAGCGCCCTGGGCTGCACTGGGGAAGTGTAGCAGGGCAGGGGAGGTGATCTTCTCCTCCGCTCAGCCACAACATGAATATTGTCCAGTTCTGGGCCCCACAGTGCAAGAGAGACCTGGACATGCTGGAGAGAGTTGAATGAAGGGCCACGAAGATGATAGAGGGACTGCAGCACCACTTCAGTTAGGTCGTCAGCCCAGAAGGCTCGGGGGAATCCTACTGATGTATACAAAGACCTAAAAGGAGTGGCCAGAAGGGAAAGAGCCAGGCTTTTCGCAGCAGTGCCCAGTGCCAGGACAGGAGGCTGCTGGGCACGAACTGGCACACAGGAGGTTCCTTCTGAACACCCAGAAACTAATTTTAGTGACAGCCCTGGCCCAGGCAGCCCAGAGGCTGTGGGGTCTCCTCCTTGGAGAGCTCCAAAAGCCGCCTGGCCATGGGCCTGGGCACCCTGCTCGGGGTGGCCCTGCTGGGACCCCGAGGTGCTGCCAGCTTCACCGGGCTGTGGAACAACTTCATTGCCCGAGCTGAGTGAATAGAACAGGATGATGTGGATATGAGCCAACACTGCAACAAAGCTAGCTTCCAAAAATCACACTAAAACTACACCAATGGAATCAACACAACTGACAGGTACCCGTTTGCTTCTCTAATCCTGCTTCCACTCTCACAGCTTCTCTCTCTGCTGTAACACAACCGTTTCTGAAATTCCAGCTTAACCATCTACACTTCACTTTCATTTGTTAACTAAAGCCCTTTTTCTTTTCATAATAGACCCTCACAATAATCTCTCCTTGCTCTTTTTCACATTCACCTTATTCCCCGTGAATACAACCCTTAAGTACTCCTGACATTGATCAGAAGTAAAAACAACCCTAATATAAAACGTGACTGCATAAACACTAGTACAGAACAAGCAAAACCACAATACATATAAAGAAAAAAAACGGTAGTGTATCTACAGGCTTATGAGAGGTCTCAGCACTAATTTCAGGCTGCAATGAGGAACTCCACACCGACCAACAAATAACCTTCCTTCTTTTTGAAAAGACACAGGTAGGTCAGCCCCGTCCACGGAAGACTGAGCAAGATGAGTTCAGAGGCTTACATTAATTACGTTTTAACTGGAGGATTTTTTGTTTGAACAGAAAAAAAAAACCACTCTGAACTTTTTACAATAGCATTTTTCATTTTCTGTTCCAACTACTGTTGGGGAAAAGGTCCTTTAGGGAGTCCTAAATAAAACCAGTACCCATTGGCCTACCCAGTCTCTCCTCTGTGCACACACGATCAGCCCACAGCCTGTCCCACCTCAGCTGTAGAGCACCTGATGCTGTTAAACACCATCTCACTGCGATCTGCTCCTCTACATCACTTGAGAGCAGTATTACTCAGCCAATCCTAGAGAGAGCAAGCGATCAACCACTAAGAAGTTTCACTGACCCCAGAGAATCTGGCCAGATCTATTAAGCAGACAGGCTTTCAACCAAGAAGACCAGCATTCCTTTCTGGTACAGACCCATCATGTGTAGCACTGCCCACATTCATTATGTGCAAAGTGTTCAGAGGGGAAAAAATCCCCCTTGAGTTGACAGTACCATTTTATTGAGAAGTAATCTCATCAGGCCAGACTCTGCATACTTCCTTACATTACTACTTAGACTATAAATCTTTCTCGTACTGCCTTTTCCAATGTAACTCTCTTAATTAGAATCCAAATTAAATGAATGCCTTCTGTGCTTTCACATTCTCATTTGTGTAACCTTTGAGGAGAATGACAAGCAGAAATCCATTTCAGCATGCTGGATGGCGTTCAGGGAACACGTTGAGCCTCATTTTCCAGCCTTTTTTATTAACCCGTTTCAAGAGAACTGTAGCATAATTTGACAAACAAGGAAATTATAAACTGTTGATGGATATAGGAACTCAAAAGCTAGCACGAAATACTCAAAATTGGAGGCAGTCAGAGAAGTCGTTCCAAAACAAGTTTCAAATTTCTTATTTACCTTCCAATTTTGGTATTGTTGGAGTGAGCTCACTTGGAGCTTGACAACAGATCATCAGTCGAACTATGGCTGCATCCACCTAATTAAATCTTACTAAATGTTAAAGAAGCTTCTCAACTTCCGCGTACTAACAACTTGCCATCCAACAACAACATCATCACCATCAGATGTCATTTTGCTCCCCCACCCCCAATATTAGCACAAACTCCAGCAACTAGTGCAAAAATTTAGGTCATAAAACACGTACCGCAACTAAGCTGCTGCATTTCCGTCTGCCTTTCAATTTTCTATCAATTTCCTTCTACAGGCATCCCCGACAGTAAGTTCTGCTCCGATAATCACACTCCATTTCACTTGCACCTTACCCTCTGAATATAGCACCCCACACCCTTCCCACTTTGCTATAAAATTAGGCGTAAAACTGGGTATTCATTAAATGTGGAAAGCGAGCCAGAGGACAGCTTCCTTTCAAAGTTTACACACCAATTTAAACTGGTCACACGTTTGCTATTAGGCAATGTCTTTTGACAGATGCCTGAGCAGCTCTCACTCACCCAGCTCAAGCACCTACCCACAAAGCCTTAGTTTGGGAGTTAAACCAGCTGAGAAACAAAGCAAATCTGAAGTTTGAAAACCTGAGTTCTGTAAAAAGCTGCTGGTTATCTTAACGTGATGTTTTAAGAGCCATACAGGCATTCAGCCTACTCAGGTGCCTCTTACACCAACATAAAGTAGTAAGAGTGCTATAAAACTGAGTTTATTTATTTTTTAAACCTGATATCCTTTTCAGATAGCTAAGCTTTAATGTTTATAGCAGCTCTTATAATCATTTAACTGTTAGTGAGTCAGCAGCTTTTAGGATCTATCTAGCAGTAGCTAGATTTCTGTAAGAAAAACAAACAGCAAAACAGAAACCAGTAAATTTAATTCTTAATAAGCATAAAATGAAGGCCTGACTAAAACTAGCTAATCAGTGCGAGAAGAAATCTAGAAGTTCGTAACAAATCCCTTGCATCAAATATTTCTGTTTCATTATGTTTACAACTCAAAGGCACAAGTGGTTCATGAGAAATCAGGCTCTGTACGGACTCCTACAAGAGCTCGAAGAATCCAATTGTCAAGAGCTTCCTTTTCTCACACACAGGAAGCTTAAAATAAAAGGTGTTACTTTTCCAGTCCAGCCCCACAGCTGCAAAAAAAGCACGCTGCTCACCAAGAAGGTGCCTTATTAGCATACCAGCTTCGATATTTATTTTCACGGAATGACTCAGCCTACTATTTCCGATTTTTCCTTAAATATTCGTCCTACATTTTACGAGAGCGGCCACCAAGTAGGGAGAAAAAATAATAATAATAAAAAAAAATAAATCTCGTTAAGTTTGAGGCGCTTCACAACGCCGAGCACACAGACCAGCTGAGAAGCCCAGGACATTCAACACGGATCTTTGGGGGTCAAGTTGGAAATATTAGTGATTCTCCACGATAATTTAGTGCCTGCAAGACAGAGGAGCTCGTGGCGAGTTTCTCTGCCAGGCACAGCACTCTGTTAACCCACAGCTGCTGATGAAAACCAGGCGATGAGGCAGGGGAGCTGCCCCACGAGGCGAACCCCGTTCACAGGCGCAAGGCAGAGCCCTGAGGAGCAGCAGCCGCAGCTCGCAGCCTCCCAGCCCGGCTCGCACCTAGCTCTCCGCCTATATTTGGTTATCACAGGCGCTTCAGAGGAAGAAAAAGGGCTCGGAAAGGGGCCGGGGCCGCCTCCCCTCAGCCTTGCAGCCCCTCAGGGGCGGCCCTGAGGCTGCCAAGCGCGCCCGGGGCCTCTGAGGGAGCCCCTCAGGAGGCAGCGGCCGGGACAAAAGGCGCGGGGCTGCCCCTTTCCCTCCCCTTCCCCCATTTTTTAAATTTAATTTTATTATTTTATTTTTTTTTTACCTTCATCTTCGAGCTCCAGTTTCTCCAGCATCCCTTCGGAGGCGGCCGGGAGCTGAGAGGGAGCCGGAGCCGCCTGCGGGAGGGAAGAGAGGAGAAGGAGATGAGCATCCAGCCGCCGCCTCACCGGCTCCGGGGCGGCATCGGAGAAGCCGGGAGACGAAAGGGGAGGACGAGGAGGAGAAGAAGAAGAAGGAGGAGGAGGAGGCGGCGGCGCTGAGGGGAGCACGGGCGGCTCCAGGGCAGCCCCCTCGGCTCCCTCCCCCGCCGCCTCTTACACACAGCGAGAGGGGAGGAACCGCGGCTCAGCCCTTCCTCCCCCCGCTTTCTCCTCGGCCCATTAACCCTACGCCCCCCGCCGCTCCCCGCACCCGCTCCTCACGGAGCCGCCGCCGCCGCCCGGCCCCGGAGCTCAGCGAGCGGCCGGGGGCGGCCCCGGCGGAGCCCTCAGAGCCCGGGCGCCCTCTCGCTGGGCGCCGCCGCCGCACCTCGCTCCCTACCCTGCTCCCCTCCCCCCCCCCCCCCGTGGAGGGATTGGTACGTTCCGGTTTGCTGCAGTTGGGCAGCGGCGGGAGGGGGAGGAAGGTACCACTTCCACGAAAAAAGGGGAGGAGGGCAGAGAGGGGGTTGTTGTTTGAGGGCCCTGCCACAAAAGCTCTCCTTGGCCGATCGGCTTCCTCTCTCTATATCCAAAATCGGGTTCTTGCCTGGCTTCGTTGGGCTAGGGCGGTATAGAAGGGGGCAGAGGGGAGGAAAGCCCTGCGATCCCCCCCCGCCAGATGGAGCTGGTACGGTCCCGCGCGTCCACCTGCAAGGCAGCGGCGGGGAAGCCGCCGGTTCCACCGCTCGGCCTGGGGGGGGGAGATCCGGAGGGTTTCCCCGGGGCGCTCCCGCTGCGCGAGCGGAGGCGCTCGTTCTCACTGAAAAGTTCCATTTTTTAGAAGTTACAATTCCAGATTAGCCCGAATTTCAGCGTCCTCCACGTTAAAAGCGCGCTCGGGGAAAGCCGGTCGCTAACCCCCGGAGCCAGGCGCTGCGCGCTCCCCTCACAGCCCTCTGAGGGGGCGGGCGGGGAGCCTGCTGCGGGTCAGCCCAGCGCGATCGTACTTCAAAATCCCTCTTATAACCAAATATTTTAACTAGATTCGTCAGATGTAATTTAAATTGATTTAGACTGATGTAGTGAGCTAAACCTGGGCTGTCCTGCCTGCACTGAGAGGATCCCCAGTGGCTGTTTGGAGGCTGGGGCACGGGTGCTGGTGAGGGAGGTGAGGAGATCCCTTGGAAAGAAAATCCTAAAATGCTTCACGCCTCGTTGCGTTTTTTAAAAAAAGGCTTTTAAAAAAGTTTTTTTAAGAGGCTTTCAATAAATATTCCAACTGACCAGCCACAAGGCGTCAAGACAATTCATATTACCTTAATGTATTTTTAGTCTACTAATTAAAATGCTTTGGAAGCTTCTAATTATCTCTGGGAGCTATTTTTAAAAGCTCTGAACACTTTATCTTCTATGTCACGTGCCTTGGTATTGATCAGTTTTTGTCTACTTTGCTAAACAAAAGAGAAGAAGGCGACGTGTCTGGTGATACCTGCCATGATTTTGTTTCTTTTTTTTAAAAAAACAATAGGTATTTACTCCACATCAGAATCTCCTAAGCACCAGACATGAGGAAATACAATCTCCAAGGTTGTTTGTAGGTGGACGTAACACTGAATCTTCAAAGGTGTACATTGCATTTCACCTGCTATGAAACACTGATATGTTTATAGTAAGCCAGGTAAGCCTATTTAATGTCATGAGCTTCACTGCTTTGTGAACCTCAGAGCTTAATGCAAGATCTGAGTTTTACAGTGGCAGAAACTACGCCCAGATGACAAGTATTATGAGAACGTCAAGATAATATTGATCGTAATGTAATATGGAATGGAGAGTTGTATTGTAAACTTTATAGCTATGCTGTAACATCCATACTGTTCAAAAAAAAAAAATAAAAACAACAAAGGAAATTGACAAGTAAAGGCTGAGCTCCATCCCCCATCCTGCCTGCAGTCTCACAATTTGTTTAAGCCAATCTTAGAACATGCTACTGATCTCAGCGTTCACTTTGCTCCTCACTTTGCATTCTAGCTGTTTTTGTGCTCATAGGGAGCCCGGTGAGTCAGAACAGGAAACAGATGCAGCTGAAAATCAAACGGACCAAAAGAAAAGATTGTTTTTTTTCATCCAGATCGGTTCCTGATCCAACTCACTGTGTGGTTGTACAGCCAGCACTGCATGAGAAATGCCAAGGGCAGAAGTGACAGCAGGACCATACCTTCTGGAAACAGCCCACACTTAAGTTCACTTAAATTAAAGGTGAAAACATTCGTGTTCATTGTGAACTGCTATAGCGGTATACAGATTAGCAGATATTTTCAGCAGTCTTAGGTATTACCTCTCTCTACAAACTCTGCCTGCTGTTTTACAGAAAGATTATTGGTTAAAGATAGGAAAAATCTGTCTTTCAAAGGAGCTGTAATTCATACCAAGACAGTATTATATACTGTAACATTCCAATATCTGTTTATTGCGACTCTTTGTTCTACTGTCACGAGAGGTTTCTATTAACTATATCCTAGAGATTTGTCTAGCTTAGGATTTAAATGTTTGGGCAGACATCAGAATGTATCAGGTAATTCATTTCAACTGCTTGAGATGGGACAAGACAGCATATACTTCATGTAATAAATATTAATGAGCAAAATAAATGTTATATATAAAAACTTAGGAGGAAAAAAATAATATATATATATATATATAAATCAAAACTGCCTGAATACATTTTTTCTTTGCCAGGTTTCAGTTCAGTTTTTACAGGGGCATTACTTAAGTCAAAAACCCAAGGACCTACAACATAGCGCTGATAGGGGAGCTTAATACAGCAGTGCCAGCAATCTTTGTAGAAGCAAAGTAAAACAAATAACTCAAGGTTGATACAACACCAAATGTCATAAAAAGGTGGATGTAAACAAAAGAGGTTTAAGGACTCCTGGGAAGGCTAGGATGTAGATTTTAATAGATAACTGCTTACTTTGTCTTGGATTGTTTTCTTTAGTTTTCTAGGGTAAAAAGAGTTAATAATACTCTGTAGAAGTAAAATCAGTCATGTAAATTAAATATGCACTTATAATAAACGTAGTAAAACACATCTGATTATCTAGATGTCCTTTTAGTCCTGTGTCCTGATGAAGGAATTCCTTTATTTTCCTAAGACCATTCTAAATATTTAAATTACATCATTAGTATCAACAGAAAACTATTTTTGATGTAGTTCCCTGCCAGTTTGCCTCCCTGAATTGGTAGGAATGCACCTCCTGGGATAGGAAGCTATCAGTGGCAGTCATCAGATCAGACCAGCTATATCAAAATGAAGGAGATTCACCTCACCTGAGCTTGGACACCTACCACGTAGCTGTTTGTAGTGAATGAGTTAACCTAGGCTGCTGCTTCTGCCACCAGTGGAGAAACAGACATTTCTAGAATGTCATTCACATGACCTCTTTTAGACGAGTACTTATGATAAAACGATTTGGGTGCTGGACTCGAGTCGCTGTACTGCTTAGATCTCTAGATTGATTAGGCTTGTTCTGCTTAGAATATCTGTCTGCAAGGGAAGGTGGGCGGAGGAAAAATAAACTAGAGGAGAAACTCTAAACTAGGCAATGTAACTTTGATTCCAAGACGGGTAAGAGGTAAAAGTACCCCCAGTTTAAGTAGCTAGAGGAAAGGAAGATCATTAGTAACAGCCAACACAGCCAATCTAAGTCACTTTAATAACAGGTTAGAAGTCTTGTGGTAGGCAGATGCTGCATGACTTAACAGGAGTTTTGACATTATCTTGCACGCCACTTTCCTAAGCAAGCCAGACAGTCTAGAAGAAAATACTGCTAAAGGTCAGAACCGTACTCACAAGGAAGGTAGTAACATCTTTTTATCTAACTGTAAGGGTTTAAGAGAGGATTCCACAGAGGTTTGTGTTCTGTCTAATATCATTCACTGTTTTCACTGTGGACCTGAGGAAGGACTAATGAATATATGCTTTCAGCAGTCATGCAAGGAAATGACCAGAGAATGAAACTAAATGTGAAACAGCACAAATTCTTGGAAGAAAACATCACACCGCCTGCAAAAGTATTACAGATAAGACATGGGAAGTCTGTTCTACATATTTGCTCGTTAGTTGCCAGCTGGGATATTGGATTTGGTTTGGAGCATTGGACTCAAGAATCCAAAGAACTCAAGAGTCTGAAGAAAAGCAACAACGATCATCTAGGAGTAGAGAAGACATGACCTGTAAAGAAAGACTGAACCTCCTCAAAATAAAAGGACTAAAGGAAAATAAAACCAAAGGTTCCATATGTAACATGTTTTTTGCAAGAAGGAAAGTGATGAACTATCTTCTGGGTCTCTGGGTAATGGAATAAGAAGTTACGTAGCCTTTAGCAAGAAAGTCTTTGGTTGGAATTTAGGAGAACTTTCCTGGCTGGTATCAGGAATAGTGTGGCCAGCAGGAGCAGGGAGGTGATCGTACCCCTGTACTCTGTTCTGCTGAGGCCACAGCTCGAGTGCTGTGCTCAGCTTTGGGCCCCTCAGTACCAGAAGGACATCGAGGCCCTGGAGCGTGTCCAGAGCAAGGCTACGAAGCTGGTGAAGGGCCTGGAGCACAAGTCCTGTGAGGAGCAGCTGAGGGAGCTGGAGGTGTTTGGGCTGGAGAAGAGGAGGCTCAGGGGAGACCGTCATTGCTCTCTACAGCTACCTAAAAGGAGGCTGTATTGAGGTGGGAGTTGTTGTCTTCTCCCAAGCAACAGGACAAGAAGAAGTGGCCTCAAGCTGTGCCGGGGAGGTTCAGGTTGGCAATGAGGAGACATTTCTGCTCAGAAAGAGCAGTCAGGCACTGGGACAGGTTGCCCAGGGAGGTGGTGGAGTCACCGTCCCTGGGGGTGTTCAAGGAGAGGTTGGACGTGGTGCTTGGGGACATGGCTTAGTGGTGACATTGGTGGTAGGGGGATGGTTGGACCAGGTGATCTTGGAAGTCTTTTCTCTAATAATTCTGTGATTCTATGACAATGGCAGTGAAACACCAGCACACTTTGCTGAAATCAAAAGAAAACAAAAAACTGTAAAATGCCTATAACTGGAGTTTATTAGCAACAGGTTAGAAAGACATTTGTTGGGAATTGTTTACACATAGTTGATTGTGCTCTTGGGGAAAAGTAATTAATTCAATTTAATCAATTCTTTCTAGACTTACTTTCTTTTGTTTCTAAGTCTTTGCAGTCTTTTGAAAGACATCTTTAGTCTTTGTATGAGAATTCAATGAGAAATCTTTATGTTTTGTATGAAAGTCAAAGTTTACTAAAAATCTAATAGAAATACAACTCTGCTTTGCTTCTCCCCCCAAAACAAGTGGCCTTAATGCTGAAGTAGAAAAATACTAAAATACTGAGTAAAAACAAAGTCTTTGATGACTGGGTACTAATAGAAAAAAAAAAAAAAAAAGGAAAATGAAATGCTGCTGGAAATCACAAGCTTGTGTGGAACACTTATTCAAGCATTTCAACAAAGACGATACCTGGTCTTTAGTAAGAAATACACATTTTCAGATAAATTCAAGGCTGTCTCCAAGCTTTTCCTTTTTCCTCCTCTTTTCATTCCGATCCCTGGAGGAGGTAACGTTATCGATACAGGTGTGCTGGGGGTGCCACCCGTGCAGCTCACAGTTCAGCAGTAAAGCTGAATGCCCTTCGAAGTACTTCAGAAAGGGAAAAAAAAAAGCCTTCTTACCTTATAAAACCTAATGGATTGAAGAGCAACAAGAAGGAATTCCCATCTAAATGCAAATCAAGGCAAACCCATTTTGAATGCAAGAGTAAGCTACAAATGGTAATTTTCCCACCATTTGTTACTGCTACTTACAATTACAGTTCTACACCAGTCAAGTAGTTAACAGCTCTTCTCTTGATGAGCTGTCAATGAACAATTCAGATTTTTTCCAAATGTATGTCATAGATACGCTTATTCTGTAGCAATCTGTTTGTGCAAAGTTAATTTAAAAAACTGTTTATTTTGTCGGTTTAATTTAGTCTGGTTTATGAAGTGGAGAGAGACAAAAAATATCAGATAAAAAGTTTTCATCTGCTGGTTAATCTGTGAATTAAACTCCTACTTGTTTTGTTCTAGAGTGTCATAACTGATACCAGTGGCTTGCAACAGCTGGGAAGGCTGAAATCAGTGAGTCTGGGATCAGGATCCCATGCTGAATCCCTTCCATATTTAAAAATGTTAACTGCGTGGTGAAAAGGATTGCTGTAGGATGACAGCCTGAGAGTCTGTTACGTGCTTGGAGAACATGGTCAGTCCCAGTGCAGAGCTCTGGGCCTGGTTCTGATGCAAAGTCCTCCTCGCCTCAAAAAACTTGGAGTGAAAAGAGCAGCTGTGCAGGAATTGTAGTTTCTACCATTTATTCTAAGGAATCTCTGTTCCATCACTCAACAAACAACTAGTAAGGAAGGGGATGTCTCGTACAAAATACTGGATTCAAGTGTTTTCTTCCTGTACCTGGAAGGATTGCAATAAACTTTGCTCTAGTCTTAAAAAGGTTTTGAAATACTAGATGCTGTAATCATTTCAGCACATAGTAAGTACAAATGAAGATTGTGACAGCTCAGAGATTACAATTTGTTTAGAACACAGTAACCAAATCCCAGTAACAATGCATGGCATTGAAAATGAACTTGGTGTCAGCGTTGCATGTTCTCTTACCATGCTCTGTCCCTAATCTGCATGGCCCTTAACGAGTTAGAGGCACAACTAGCCTGCAGCAGGTGTGAAAGTGATGGAACAAGTTGTACCTACCCTGCATGTGTTTCTAATATTGTACATTGAGATTAAAGATGGCTGTAGTTGCTTCTTTTTAAAACAGCTCGAACCATTTGCCATTGGATAAGAACTCTGCCCGGAAAGGACTTTTTTCTTCATCCTAATATCATCAGAATGTGAGTCCAACAGTTGTCCTAATGGGGAATCTGCTGACATGACACAGTAACTATGCATTGCTTTTACCTTTCAGAAGTAGTAACTAGCCTCCCACTGAATTCTATTTGTATCCTCACACACACCAAGAGCTATAATATTAATTACTTTACAGAGTTAATTATTAGTGATCAGGAGTTACAGTTGGGGACCTTTAGTAGGTTAAATGGATAACGTACTTGGAACAGCAATAACACGTAGCCTAAGAGTGGTTAGAGGAGTGCATTCAGCACTAGGAAAGATATTGAAATGAATGATGTGCATTTATACTAAATCTGCACTGCAATTACAGCACACAGTGTTGAAATCTCTTTACCCTGAAGATACACAAACTGAATGTGGAGAGTGATTTCATGTTTTTAGTGGAGAGCCCTTCCTAAATATTTCTGTATGGAAATGAACTTGCAGTTTAATCCCAGGGAGTTCTGTCACTGGCTTAATTGAGAAAAAGGAAGGATTTACAAAACTTCCTTTGATCTAACATCAGAAACAAAGAACCTGTCTTAGACAAGAACAGTGGCCTATATCGCTTTCCTGCTTTGTCTGAGAAAAAATGTTGGTAGCAGTGCCAGAAGAGTTAAGCACTTCTAAAAAAATAAACCTCATGGAAGTAAACAACCAAGGTATAGCCTAGATCCCCAGCTAAATTCTTACAGAGAAGTCAAAACAGAAGTGGTGAAGAGACAGGATTTGTTTACATAACCTCTAATCTCTAGCTGTATGTCTGATCCTGCTTCACTCTGCAACTCAGATAAGAGTTTTGAGTCAAGAATATCAAAGAGGCATTCTCTAAAGAAGCCTGTGTGGCCAATATTCATTCCCCACATTATGCATGTAGAATATAGGAGGAGACTGAATCGGTATTATCACAGAATCACAGAATTATCAGCATGGCATGTTATTAGTCAAGCCACGATTTAAATTCTGTCCTTTTGAACACAAAGTTCAAAAAAGTTTACTTGTGAGGAACTGTCTAGAGGTTGCTTGTTAAGAACAGTGATGTGATGATAGTGCTATCGCTGCAAACATAAGGATCTCACTCAGTACTGTAATGTGTTCCTGTTTTTTTAAGTGTTCTTGTCTTAAATGTTTATATCATATATGCTTGAAAAGATAGGCTTTAGCTTTTTTCACACGTGATTGAGTGCTCCCGAGTCTCTTTGAAATAGGACCTCTCTCTTATCACACAGATGGCGAGAGGGAAAGGAGAAATGATTGCTGGAGAAAGCTGTAGTAATCAGCTCATAAGCATTACAGTCGATATTTCTGAGTGTGACAAACATACCATGGTTTCATTTGTTTGTTTTTAATAATCATAATAAAACAGATTAAGCTAATTCATTGATTAAAAAACAGGTAAGCATTAACTAATTTAAAGAGGATGGACAAGAATAAGTGTGAGCCCACATTTACCTGGGGCTTCATCCACAGGCATCGAACAAGGAAGGATTATTTGTGTTACTTAAGCATTTACTTAAGTACTTTTGCTGGATTGAGGCCACAGTACTGCAGAGTACTCACTCTATGGAACAGAGGCCACTGAGAATAACAGATTAAAAAAAATACCTGGAGCCAAATCTGATATGAATAAACATTTACTATGCATCATTTTGCTTTCTTCATCCTAGTGTTGTATTTCAAAGCCTCAACCATGGATAGTGACTTCAGTGTGCAAACACTTATTACACCAGCTTTCTTTCAGTGGTGGGGTTTTTAAAATCTAAAATGAAACACCTTTTCCCTTACAGAGCCTGAGGGTAATTGATATCACACTTCAGGTTTGAGTTAACTCTGCAGAATTCCAGTAACCTATTAGTAGCCTACTGTTAAAATGGAATTTTCGTGATCATCAGCAGGTCTGAAAGCCTGGAAGCAGAGACATGGAGCCTAAGCATTAGCAGGACAATGCAGGTGGGAGTTGGAAGGGTGGTTTACTGAAAAATAGGGACAGTCTTCAGCTCACAGCTGAATCACCCATGATCTCGACAAAGCTTTAAGAAGTTTACATACATCTGGACTGAACAAATAATTCACTCGATGGCACGAGCTTCACAAAGGAGCAGATAACTGCTGCCTGAGCAGTGTAGCAAGTGAGCTGTGCAATAAGTAGCATGCCTTCTACAGAGCTTATCATGATGAGGATCTCCATAGTCAATAGGACAACAGAAGTATTCAAAAGCTATCTCAAAGAGGCAGGCCAACGTCCTTCAACACAGAGCCCATGGCTGACTTGTAATCTCCAAATAAATCAGTTTTTGACATAAAATTATTTTTCAGATGGCACCAAATCTGCATAGCTTGAGGAACCTGACCTTCCTCTGAATTACTTCCAGACCTACTGCTGATCACTGCGGGCATAATTGTGTGCTGCTTCTCCTTTATTCTGCATGAAAGAAGTCTGTGATGACAGCATCATGCAACAGCTATCTTCCTTCTGTCATGCATGCTTTCCCTTTGACAACCTCTTAACCAAATTGTTCCATCACGCCAGTTGTTCCATCACTGCCACTGAAACCAGCTCCTCCAAGGTACTGGTTCTGTGGTTTGGCAGCACCCAGATGGGACTGAAGCGAGGACTTTGCCAAGCAATAAGCACATCAAGTGCTTCAGCTAAAAGTTTTATGACTCCGAACATGAAGAGATGTGGAAATACCGATAAGGCTTTTCCCTGTATTCCCTGAACCAGAATCGAAAAGAATTCAAATTAGTTCCACACTAAGGACCTGGGCTATACCTCCAGCAAGCCAGCCACCGTGCTTGCATTACTGCAGTTTGTGCATTTAAAAAAAAAAAAAAAGTATTTTTATAAAAGGATACAAAAGTATTTGTGGTCAGTGGATGTGCACAGTGTGCATCTGGTG